CTGCCCCTCCCATGCTGGTAGATGGGGTTCCCAAAGCCTGCCCTGAGGGCTACCCACCCTGAATTCTGGTCCAACAGGGTTAGCTTTGTGGCGGGAAGTCACAATCTATGGGTGCTCTGGCACTGTTTTGACACTGTAGCCAGACTTCCCTCCACCAAGGTTGCTCTTGTCATTCAGATCCAAGGGTTATAAATATCTGTCATCGCTTACAGGGGTTGGTTAAAAATTATTATTGGTTAGGGGAAAAAAACTACTGTTAGTCTCAGATACTTCACACTGGTACAGGTTTTAATGTGTTGATACAAATTTAGAGTTATTAAAACAACAAGAAAGACTTTGGTAAAAGTTTCTGTGCTGCTGAGCTGAACTCAAGAAAGCCAGTAACAGAGAGGGAGGACTGATGACCAAAGGGATTAAGACTGAGCTGGTTTAACTCCCAGAAACAGCTGACCTGACAAAGGTTAACTCTTGAATCCCAGGCTGATGCCTGGGAATCCAGCATGGGGCTGATCAAGACCCCCTGAATGGGGGTGTCAGTGAGGAGGCCTAGGCAATCTATGGGGCCTTTGGTAGTTGACCAGTATTTACTCCTGGCATACAAATGGACATTGGGTGCCCATCCCACAATGAGAGATGCACTCTCACCCTGGACTCTTGGGGGAGGTTCTAGGCCCTGTCCTGGATGAAATGACAGACTATGGACATCCCCATGGAAGAACTCACCCTCCCTGGGGAAAGGAGGGGGTGGGCGGAGGGGGAGGGAAAGGGAGAGGGACCTGAGATTGACATGTGAAGAAACCTTGTTTCTAATTTGAATTCAAATTTAAAAATAAAAATTTTTAATATAAAAAAGTTTCTGTGCTGTCTAAAAAGTGAGGGAAAAGGTAGGAGACGAAAATAATAAAAAAAAAAAGGGAAAGGGAAAGTGTAGGAGTGAACCCCAGAAAGCTATCCACCCATGAGGGCGGAGACATGTAAACTGACACAGGTAGATATAAAAGGAAGTGAAAGAAGAAGGAACCTCCCTTGTTTCTCCTGGAAGCCAGCCACGCTTCTGACTCCTGGTCAGTGCGTCTCTCTCTCTCCCTGATAAATAAATATATTGTTTTTCCCTATATAGTATCGAATATCGTTATAGGAAAGAAAAATTTGTCTAAAGTAAAAATGTCTGAGAAATCAGAAGAATGGACTGAAGGTATATGGAAAGTTGTAGAAGGTCAGAGGGGATGTGAGCTATGTTTGCTGTGGTTTCTCATACCTGCAAATACTGTAGTTAAAAATAAGTTAAAATTTTCATCATATTAGGTTAATTCTGCTTAAAAAGTTTTGTTTGTCTTGTTAAAATTTTTTTGTCTATTTCTTGAAAAAGTTGTATATGCTTTTTTGTTGGAAAGTTTTGTCTGTGCTTTCTGGTGTGATCTTAAGTTTTGTTGCAAGCATAGGGCTGAAACATAACTGGTTTGGATATTTTCATTGTCTAATGCTGACAGCAGTCAGTCATTTATGGACATAGCTCAGAATTTATCTCTGAGTTCTAGTCACTGGATTCAGGTTATCAGGATGTCTTTTTTGATGAAGATAGCATTAAGACCGTTTTATGCTGTCCTTTACTGAGAGGCTGGCTCTACAGTTGGATTATGGCTCTTCCTTCAATATACCCAGGCTTATTTAAAGATTTCCTTTATGTTGCTCTGTCAGTCTGAGCCCCTGACACAGTGACAGAGAAACAAAGCCAGAAAACAAAAAGGAAAAAAAGGTTGACTTGGTTTATGTGAACACTTTCTGCTTTCACACTTATAAGTTTATTTTCTTAGGTATGGTTAAGAATCTGTTTAAAATTAAAACTAGTTAAAAGTTAAAACTAGTAACACTGGGAGTTGATAATTTAAAATCTATGCATGGGTAATTTTAAAGGAACCATAATGACATGATTCCAATTTGGATTCCCACCATTTTTAGTCAGTCACATGGCTGGTTGCCATTTTCCTGGAGTTGAAAAAGATGGATGTCACAGACTTTAACCTCCATCTTGACTGAAGTGACCATGAAGGTGGAGTGAGCCTAACTAGGAGGCAACAATAGATCTCCAAGAGAGTTTGGATTGAGACCGAGTTTTGTGTGATGATTTATGTCGAATCCTAAAAACAAGCTTTTTTTAAAAAATAGGATTTAAAATTTTAATGCTACAACTCAATGCTTCTATATATATTAAGTCCAAATGGACCAAAGATCTCAATATAAATCCAGCCACACTGAAACTTTTAGAAGAGAAAGTGGGAGATACTCTTCAACGAGTTGGTACAGGAGACCACTTCCTGAACATAACACCAGTGGCACAGACACTGAAATCGACAATTAACAAATGGGACCTCATGAAACTAAAAAGCTTCTGTAAGGCAAGGGACACAGTCAACAAGACAAAAAGGCAGTACACAGAATGGGAAAAGATATTCACTAACCCCACATCTGACAGAGGGCTAATCTCCAAAATATACAAAGAACTCAAGAAACAAGTCTCCAAAACACCAAAGGATCCAATTAAAAGGTGGGGTACAGAACTAAACAGAGAATTCTCAATAGAGGAGGCTAAAATGGCCAAGAGACACTTAAGAAAGTGCTCAACATCCTTAGCCATCAGGGAAATGCAAATCAAAACAACTTTGAGATACCATCTTACTCCTGTCAGAATGGCTAAAATCAAAAACACCGAAGGCAATTTATGCTGGAGAGGATGTAGAGATAGGGGAACACTCCTCCACTGCTGGTGGGAGTGCCAACTCGTACAGCCACTTTGGAAATCAGTATGGAGGTTCCTCAGGAAAATGGGAATCAATCTACCACAAGACCCAGCAATTCCACTCTTAGGCATATATCCAAAAGAGGCAAATTCATACAACAAGGACATCTGCTCCACTATGTTCATAGCAGCATTATTTGTAATAGACAGAACCTGGAAGCAACCTAGATGCCCCTCAACTGAAGAGTGGATAGAGAAAATGTAGTACATTTACACAATGGAGTATTACTCAGCAGAAAAACACAATGGAATCTTGAAATTCGCAGGTAAATGGATAGCACTGGAAGAAACCATCCTGAGTGAGGTAACCCAGTCACAAAAAGACAAACATGGTATGTACTCACTCATATATGGATTTTAGACATGGGATCAGGAGAGTGCCAGTCTGCACTTCCAATGACAGAGAGTCTGGGAAACAGGAAAGAATATAAAAGCTATGCATGGTACCCAAGAGAAGAGAAATGAGGCAAGATCCTCTGAACAGATGGGGAACACGGCAAGGGGTGGGAGGAAGGGGGAGCTGGGAAATAGAGAGGGGGAGAAGAGGAAGAGAGAGTAGGTCATGGGGGAACAGGAAGGTTGACTGGAGGGGGTAGGATAGGGGGAAGGGGGAATCATAGGTTAGAAGACAGATCAGGCACCATTGTGACCTCTAGTGATCTAAAGGGATGACACCAATTGGCAAGCTAAGCAATAGTGTAGAGATTACCTTAAATGCCCATTCCTGATAATGAACTTGACGTCTACTTTATATGCCATCCTAGAACCTCATCCAGTGACTGATGGAAGCAGAGGCAAACACCCACAGTTAAACACTGAACAGAACCTATGGAACCCAGTGGCAGAGAGAGAGGAGCGATGAGCAAATGGGCAAAGAATGGGCTGGCAAAACCAGCAGAGACAGCTGATCCGAACAGGGAAGAGCTCTTGAACCCCAGACCGACATCTGGGAGGCCAGCATGGGACCCATCCAGACCCCCTGAATGTGAGAGTCAGTGAGGAGGCCTGGGCTACCTATGGGGTCCTGAGCAGTGGATCAGTGTTTATCCCTCGAATACTAACAGACATCGTGTGTCCATAACACAAAGAGGGATGCTCTATCAGCCTGGACTCTTAGGGGAGTGCCTGGACCCTACCTTGAGTGAAATGACAGACTCTAGATATCCCCTATGTGGAAGGAATTGGCAATAGGGTGGGAGGATGGGGGGGGGATGGTGGAGGGGTGCAGGAGGAGGGGAGGGAGAGGGAACTGGGATTGACATGTAAAACAAGCTATTTAAAATTAAAATTATATATATATATATATATATATATATATATATATATATATATATAAAGAATACACCTTGCTCTGACAGCTAAACTTGCTAATTTAACAGTCACCAAGGTGATAATGGTTTTATTTTATTTATTTATTTATTTTTGGTTTTTCAAGATAGGGTTTCTCTGTGTTGTTTTGGAGCCTGTCCTGGAACTCTCTGGGTAGACCAGGCTTGATCTCCAACTCACAGAGATCCGCCTGCCTCTGCCTCCTGAGTGCTGGGATTAAAGGCGTGTGCCACCACTGCCCGTTGGATAATGGTTTTAAAGGCATAAATAAAGGCTACTTTATTGTTGATATTTCAGAAAGAAAATATTTAAATTTATAAGACTATGGCATAGCTGTGCTTATAAAATGTTTTATATTGCTAATAAGTGCATGTGACAGTTGATACATATTCTTAATGGCCACCACACAAACTGGAGAAACCACAAAGCATGTGATAAGTCACTGCTTAAAATGATCTGCTTACATGGGAGTTCCAAAAGTGATAAAAACAGACAATGGATCTGGATATACTAGTAAAGCATTTCGGCAATTTTTTGCTCAATGGAAAATTGATCACAATACAGGCATTCCTTATAATCCTCAAGGACAAGGAATTATGGAGCATGCTCATGGCTTCTTCAAGGCAACTTCTAAAAATGAGAAGAGGGGAGTTGTGCCCTCAATCTGCACATGCTGCACTAAATCATGCACTCTTCATTTGAAATCTTTTGAGATATGGATGCCTAAGAGCAATCTACTGTGGACAGAGTCTGGCAGGATGGAACTCGAGTGACTTTCGATCAAGTCAAGTGGAAAGATCCATGTACCAGACAATGGAGAGGGCCTGGTCCTGTCCAAATATGGGGTTGAGGGCATGTTTGTGTTTTCTCAAAGGAAGAAAATGAGGCCCGATGGCTGCCAGACCGTTTGGTGAGATGTGTGGAGCAGAGGAAAACTGGACCTGAGACTAAAGGAGCCTATGCAAGTCAGTTCGAGTGAGACCCAGTGAACCTGTGTTCCTAACCTCCTGATGTCATTGATTCTGCGGTCCGAGAAAGGAAGGAAACTGTTGGTTCGAGATTTCTAGTTTCTCAACAGGTGTGTTGCATCTACCTCCCAAACCTAAGAGTTCTCATTCTAGAGCCAGCCAAGAACTAAATGACCAGTAGCTCATCCGCACCACACCTTCAAACACAGAACTGGTTTTGCCAGTTTTTCCCTTTGGGACGAAAGAACTCATTTAGAACAATTAAACACTATTATGGATGTGATGTGTGGCAAAAGCCCCTCTTCAGTATTTAAACAGGACATGGACAAAAGTTTTACAATTAACATTCAAGGACTGTGATATCTCAAACTTATTTTTGAACTTTACAAGCAACAGAGCATTGAACTTTAGATAGGGAAAAGGAAAAAGTTCAGGATTGTGGAGTTATTCATACTCCACCCGTCATGAGAACATTTTATTGTCCTTTGATCCAATTGAAATTATGAGAATTGTAACAGTCTATTTGTATGTCTATTGTTACTAATCACACTGGAGTTATTAATATTTGTAGCCTTTGCTATGCTATGTAAGTGTTTATGGATTTAAGAGGTCAGAGCTCATTCTGACAAGAATTTGATGTGATACTTTGGGTACAACGTGACTAGAAAGGCAGATTTAGACTTTGATATGGTCAAAGGCACTCGAGACATCCCACACCAATTTTGAAAGGCCATTTTAGTTGGGTTCTTCTGCTCCTTCTGCAGGAGATTGTTGCAGCCATAAAAGCACACATGTTGCTTAGCACTATCAAGCTTGCTTGTGAACTCTCGATTGAGAAGCTGGCTTAGAGGTGCGTGGCATTGAGCTATGCACCACCCACTAATGTTCTTTGTTACAGAGGCTGATAGTCAAAGATGGGTAAGATCTTCTTGCCTCCAGGTAACCCAAGACAGGTCACACATGACGGAATGTGTGGTTCAAGGATAGGTAAGCACTGGTAGATTGAAGAGGGTAATCTAAGACAGGCACAGCCGTCTGTTCTGTTGCAGAAGTACAGGTATTGTTTTATTAATTTAAGAAGGAGGAATTGTCAGGGCCCATATATTGGAAATCTATTCCATCCTGCCATGAGTTCAGAGAGCCTTGACTCCTATTGTCTTTAAGATATCGGCTTAAAAGCCAGATGTTGGTGGCGCACACCTTTAATCCCAGAACTCAGGAGGCAGAGGCAGGTGGATCTCTGTGAGTTCGAGACCAGCCTGGTCTACAAGAGCTAGTTCTAGGACAGCCTCCAAAGCCACAGAGAAACCCTGTCTCACCCACCCACCCAAAAAAGATATTAGCTTAATGACTGTAGGATGCTCTGTAGCCTCGGTGGTGAATGACTCCTATCTATAGACCTAGGCCCAGGCAAGTTTACACTCTCCCTGAAGGCTAGGTGATATGTGCACATATGTAGTGCCTGAAAACCAAGTGGTATGTGCAGCTACAGCTACAGAGTATCTTTAGGATTAAGGGAAGTAATTGCTATTTGCCTTTATACATAATAATAGAAATCTTTTGCCATTGTCCCCACCTTTGGTTGGTTACTTAAGATGCTGCATGAATATATTGGGTGCATTCAGAATTAACTGGATCTGTCCTCCTGACACTATCCTATGTCTCTGTCTTTCCTTTAATGTCTATAGCTAGCCTTTCCCTCACCCACACTCCTCCACTCAGGAACAGACACAGGGATGTTTGACTGGTCCCGATTGCAGCCTCAAAGACACCATTCCGCAACAATTAGGCTAGCTATAACTTTGTCAGCTTGGTAGCATCAGACAGCCAGATCCTTCCACAAGGCTATGGCCTGCTTGGTAGCTCATTTTACATTTAAAAATCAAGCCTTGATTTGGCTCTAAAAAAAGGGGGTCTAAGGATGTAAGAGTATACAAGTTTTAAGGGTGTAAAAATGATTTAAGATAAATAAATAATTTAAGATATAAAAAGGTTTCAGATTATTTTCCCCTTCTATGATATAAAAGTTCAGAGCTTAGTATCTAATAAAGTTCTAATAAGCTGGTAGAGCAGTGACTACCTGCTGTTCAGTCACAAGCTCAAGGCTTTGGATTTATTTTCATTGTCATTTAATATAAACTTAAAGGGCTTCTTATCAGGCCAAAGACATCTCTGTCCAATCTATACCTGACTCTCTCTGTACAGAAAAAAATGTGCATGGTTCTAACCAAAATCTGTAATTTTTACTAGGACTCAAAGGTGTGAGTCTAATCCTGCTGCTTTACAGAAATCCAATAACAGCTTTTTCTACAACATGGGTTTCAGATTTGTAATACTAATATATCTAAAACTTTTATGTCCTTTTGTAAAATAAAGTTCATATAAGCTTCAGAGGAACAAAAAGTCATAAAGCTTAGACCCACTTCACACAGGACAAAAGGGCTCCAGATAAGTGCAGCCTGTGTTTTGCCACCTGTCTGTTCCTGAGAATGGGTTTTTTTCTCTCCTGGTCTTGGGACTCCTGCCCTTCCTGATCACTAAAACTATGGACCTCAAAGTTCTGATTAAGTACGTAAATTTTAACTTCTGTTCATAGTTTGGACGTGTCTCAACAGGTTTCCACTTCTGGCAGACACATCCAAGCATCAGCTGACTACAACCTGCTCCAAAAGACTGTGAGCTCTGGACTTGCTGCTGATGTGGGCCAGGCCAGCAGATGTGAACACTCCCTGTATCTTCAACAGAGTCTTTGAGCCAGATGCTTCTGATCAATACCCCACTGCCCGAATTCCCTCTTTGCTTTTGACTAGCATTTCAGCCTTCTTGGGCCCCTGACAGCAATGTCCCAAAGTCATCTGGAAGTAGTTACAGAAAAGAGTATGTTGTCCCTCGCTCCCTCATTGAAATGCTAAGTCAAAAGGAAACCCCCTTACATAGGGGACAAAATGGCAATAGATGCAAATGTCACTGCCCTAGAAAACCCTGTCAGCTAATGGCTCTTAGGACTTGTTCCCACACCTTTGAGCCTCTAAAAGGCAGGATTTATGATTGGGTCCTGTTGTTGGTACCTCTAGAAAGCAGGAATGAGAGACTAAAACCAGGGTCATTTTAGAAAAGAGGGCCAGAAACAGAATATGGGAACCTCACCCCATAACCTGTGCAGCTGGCTCACATCACCCACACAGCAGGCCGTCAGGAAAAACAGATAGCCACACATGGCCCTGACTCTGGCAGGAAGAACAGATACCCCGGGTTAATCAACAGAGTTACAAAACAACTTTTATGGGTACATGTTGTGCCAAAGATTAGCCTATGGAAATTCCCCAAGTTCCTCTAGACACCCCAACCAATCAGCTTTGACCCCATACCCTCAGCCTGTCCTTTGGTTTTAGTCTTTATAAACCCCTTGCTTATGAGGCTTGAGACCTTCTCTCCTGCAGCTGCTATTTCAGTCTGTGTTACAAGGTTCCTGCCTAGGCTTGAAATCAATAAAGAAACCTTGTACTTGCATTTGGTGAGTTGGTTCTGAGTGGTGGTCTCTCTGGGGGTCTTGTGGACTGGGCATAACAGCTGGAGTTATTACTAAGTGATTTTAGACAAAGGGTCTTTTTAAACATTTTTAATTTTTTAAAGTGCTTTTTATGTATGAGTGTCTCCTAAGCTGTTTTTAAGGGTGCAGTCTCCTTTCTTCTGCTCCCCTCTCTAATTCAGAGCCAGAGGGCCAGCCTGACTCAGAGCAGAAGGTCTGGAGGAAATATTAGGACATATTTGGGTCTGAAGTGGGTAGGTCAAATCCCATCTCCAGAGCTAGCTTTTCAGTGAGCTCAAACAACATATGGCGATATTTTTAAAGATATCATTCCTACCAAAAAGGTGCTTGTTTCTCCATAACCGAAAAGTAGAAACAAAAGCAAAAGTATGTAAATTAGTGGGGCGGAGACATAAGCAGGCCACAGGCATAGGTCAAGGGAGTCCAGGAGCAGAGAGACTACCCTATCTCAATTAGAGCAAGCAGGCTTGGAGACAGTGGAAAGGACCCAACATAGCTTCAATCTCCAGTCTCTAATCCCAGCGGTGTAGCCAAGCAACTTTCCCACACAGAAAAGCTGGCTGCATACCCTTTGGCCACTTTAAGGTAGGGTTCCAGCCTCACTGGCTGTCAAGGCTATCGAGATGCCTGGTAGTCTCCAAAGCAGTAAATAAATGTGGAGGGTTGCCCTATTCCTGCTCACATTGCAGCCCCTGCTCCAGTGGCTGCTGCAGCCCCAAAGTGACCAGGGCCACAGGTCATCATGTCCCAGCTGGGATCTAGTACTCAGCTAATGAGATTTTATGACTTGCTCCTTTAGGAGAAAGGAGTCAGGAACTGATTAGGTTCAGGCTCTGGGCGATCCTAAATGGTGTATGCAAGGGGTGTAGTAAAGAAACTGCCAACATGTCCACTCCTTGGCATTATTAAGGGTTATCTTTTTATTGAGTATGAGAGAGAAAACATCCAATGTCATCTGGAGGAGTCCAGAGAAGAGAGAAAAGAAAGTGTTAGCATCTTCAGATCATCCCACAAAGAGCACACTCTCATATGCAATTAGCAATAGCCTTTATTTCTCCAGGCAAAACTCCTACACACAGGGGTCAGCCATTCAGGAAAAATGGGGACAACCATGAGGGGAGCACACTAGCTGCTTTTAAGCACAGTTATGGTAATTCCAGGGTGAGGGGATCTGACCTTTGGGCTGATTAGTGGGTTTGAACCTGAGTCAACAGGGGATTGGTTGGGAGCTGGGGACTTTGCAGATTCAGGATGGGGTGCCTATCTTTTGTCACCATGAGATAAGTGGTGGGGAGCCTTTTGATTGGCTGGTCCTAGGCTGTGGTTATCCCTGGGAGTGCCAGCTCATTCCAGGAAACTGAAATTGAGGCCTGGTCTTTTGCCAAGGCTACTTGGGCTCTGTCCTGCTATAAGAGGGGATGGCTGCTTCAAAATCAATCTGGATATAGCCAGGGCTATCTTTGAGAGAAGGAAGAAGGAAGAAGAGCAGGTCAGGGGTGCTGGAAACCTTACTATTAGAACAAGAACAAATGGTGCTCGTGGGTAGGGACTGAGGGAGCCGGGAGGCAGGGCATGGGCTTTGGTATGCAACTACAGCTGTGTCAATGGAGTCATATGTGCCTTCTGCCATATCTCTTTTGGCAGATGAGAACCAGTTTCCTAAGTTCCTGGAGGAATGCTGGCTTTTATCTTTCACCAGAAAATCCTCCTGTAGTCCAGGTTGAGCTCATTTTTGGATGTACGGACTGCGTCACCTATAGTCCAAGTTGAGCACGTTTCTGGATATCCAGACCGCCTGTTGCCTAACAAATGGGTGATGAGCTGCTGGATGAGAAGTAAGTGCGGGAAAGAGACAGGGAGCCTAGGAAGGAAGGAAAACAGAGAGCAAGGCAGCTGGGGAGTCTGAGCATGAGAGACTGAGAGAGACTGACAGAGTCAGTGGGAGGATTTACTGGAACTGCCCATAGAACTCCAGAAAGAGACCAGCACCATTAGCAAAGGCAGTCAGGGGGGTGGATCTTTTCCTCAAAAGCGAGATGCACACCCTAGTTTGACTTCTGGTTGCCATTAAGTCTAAGTGAGCTTGAAGAATAGACCTGTCCTGTCCTCAAGACAGACATCCGAAGGAAACAAGATGAGACATACCGTAAGCACTGCAGCTGGGATGGAAAGGTGTCCTGGCGGTAGGAGCAAAGTCACTGTCACTTTAAGCGTAGCTGCTTACAGCTGGGCTCAAGGGAAAGCTTTTCCCAATGTAACAACTCTACTCAGGCAGGGGATGCTTTCCCTAGTGAATTTTGTTACAGGTCTGTTCTCCTAGTGTAATGTTTCTCTCGTGAAAGTGTCACAGTTCTGCTCTGCTCAGTTTCCCTCTGGCTCCAGCGAAAGTCTGTTACAGTTGGGCTTTACTCTGGGAAAAATGTCACACTGCAAAACAAACCTCACTCAAGAGATTTACTGGGAAGGAAGAATCCAGGAGCATGACTGTCTTGGGTGAGAAACAGCAGCAAACTGAACGGAGTACAAACTTCATACAGGATTTCTTGGGGAGGGGGCCTTCCAGGATGGCTTGGAATTTTTGGATTTTGGTGGTCTGATTCTGGGGCAAGCTCAGGGGTTGGTGCAAATTCAAGCCCTGGTCCTGGGGTCAAGTCAGGGACAGGGTGTTTTTCCCTGGCCCTTTTCACTCTACAGATAACACCAACAAAAATGACTCTCCAGGCAGAACCTGGACAGAGTTCAGTTACTCAATAATTTGGCTAGCCATACACTCAAAACCCAGTTTCCCCCATACTCATGGGAAGCAGAAGCAGAAAACCAGGTCCTTCGCTACTGGTGTCCGGATATAGTGAGAGAGGAGAGGGAGGCTCCTGCAAAGGTTTATCCCTCTTAACCGGAACTGTCAGAAGGACTGATCCACTTTAGTGTCAGGGAACATGGTGGCAGTCATTCTAGACCCCTGGGCTCAGTGGGAGGCATGAGCCCCTGGAAAGCGCTCCAGGGGTTATTTCCACTGTAACCTCCCCACTCCAGGCAGGCTAGAAGCAAGATTGAGTCCTGTATGCATGGTGTAATGTCACTGGGGACCTCCATATGTTATAATCTAGGGAAGAAAGGTTCAGCTCACCATGTACATAAAACCAAGTAAGAGTGAGTCCTTTATTACCCAGCAACTGAGAACAGGCTCTTGACACAAAGAACTCTCAGCACTGAAGCTCTGAGGTACAGCATTTATAAAGAAAAGCCCCATAAAGAACAGGATGACATTATTGTCAGATGTAGGGCAGGGTACCTGGTACATTTGTTTTGGATGACTATATCAGTTGTATTCTGGGTATTGTTGTAAAAGTCTCAAATGTGTTGCTAAGGCAGACATGACTGTTCAGGGAGTTAGGGGCTTGCAAAAAGTGCCTGAGCAGACACAAAATGCAGATCAGGATGTCTGTGTGTGTGTGTGTGTGTGTGTGTGTGTGTGTGTGTGTGTGTGTGCACCTGTGTGCTGTGATGGGATAGATGTTAGAGGACAAGCTGGGGAGTCTGTGCTGCCCTTACATTATGTGGGGCCTGGGGCAACAAGTATCTTTACCAACTCGGTTGTCTCATTGGCCTTGATTTTTAGTTAATTATTAAATGAAAGCTTAATTTCATTAAAAATTCTATTAAGTGGGTAGACTTTCAACTAACAGAAGGGGTATCAGAATGGTTAAGATTATTAGAGGTAACTGATGTTATTGGTGAGAGGGTAATGTAGTTGTATTTAGATGTAATGAGCAAAGGGGTCAAGACCATGCTGGAAAAACCCACAGAAATAGCTAATCTGAGCAAGTGGAAGCTCACAGACCCCAGTCTGACAGCTGGGGAACCAGCATAGGACCCAACCAGCCCCCTGAAACTTCCGGAAGATCATAGAAACCACTGTACACTTCACGTGGCATGGCCAATGTAGGGATGAGAGCTCATTTTATATGGATGGGACAGTAAACAGAAGAGCAGTGTGTCTGTGGGTATGGGTGTGGTACCTTGGCCACATCTAAATACCTTTTACAGACACTTGAACACAGGGAAATTTGTGCATTCCCCAGTCCAACATCCCAAAGGACCCCTTTTATTGTATATTAATTGTATACATTGTAGAGAAAGTTATTTCAAAAAGTAGTTGACACACAAATATTAAAGGGTCCAGTTGAGGGATGGCATTTAGAGGTGAGTATTATCATATTTTCACAAGAGCATCTGCTCCTGTTTATTAAATCTTCTGGAGGGGGCGTTGTTTGAAACAGGGTTTCACTGTGTAGCCCTGGCTGTCCTGGAACCCACTCTATAGACCAGACCGGCCTTGAACCCAGAGACCCTGCTTGCCTCTGCTTCCCAAGTGCTAGGATTATAGGCATGTGCATCACCTCCCGGCCTTTTAGTATATCTTAATCACAACTAAAATAATGAATTCTGTACTATCCCAAGTGCGTACTGAGAAGTCTCATGCTACTGCAATTAAGAACCGAAGCATGGCCGGGTGTTGGTGGGGCACGCCTTTAATCCCAGCACTCTGGAGGCAGAGGCAGGCAAATCTCTGTGAGTTCGAGGTCAGTCTGGTCTACAGAGCGAGTTCCAGGACAGCCTCCAAAACAATACAAAAACAAAAAACAAAACAAAAGAAGCAAAGCATGAATGCAATGCACAAGCACATATCCGTGGTAACAGTATGACACATAACTTTTCAGAGTGAATTCACAGTCCATGCTAGGACAGCCAGCTGCTGGGTCACTGAGCTAGCTGTTGGCCTGGGTTGTAAGAATATTTTGCTGTATAAACCTGATGACTCATGTTTGATATATTGAACCTCTGGTAGAATGGGAGAAAATTTCCTAGTAACCTCCATCCATGTGCTATGCTGGGAGTGTGTCACACTAAAACACCACAACAGAAGATGTTCATGGTAATGATTTTTAAAATAGGTTAT